AAGACATACATGTTGCAGAAAACTGCTAATTTGCTGAAATCCAAGCCATTAAGACAGGAAAGAAAAGTTCTGGACACTGTGCATGGAGAAAGGCAACATATCTGCTCAGTGTACAAGATAGAAGTAAAAGACATGACAGAAAAGCTGAAATTTGAAACTGAGGTGTCCACACTCAGCAAGCTGACATCTGTCAAGAATGTGAAGCCCCAGATTTTAAAGAAGAAATTCAACCATTTGAAGAACCTGGAATTTTCAGATATTTCAAGTGAAAGAGAACTTGAAATTGATGTCATCATTGGATTGGAAGACCTTTGCAAGCTGAAAACAGGAAACATGAAATGGGGAAATGCTGGTGATCCTGTTGCAGAAGAAACAACACTGGATTGGACTCTAATGGGACCAACAAACTCAGCAGAGGATCAAAGTTGTTCAAGTTCACTGCTGTTGACAACTGATAAGGAAAATCTGAGCAATCAGATAGCCAAACTGTGGGATTTGGAGACAGTAGGGATCAGGGAAAAAAACTCAGTGGAAGAGAAATTTGAAGATACAGTAACTTTCAATGGAGAGAGATACAGTGTGCAGTTGCCATGGAAATCAGATAGAGTCAATTTGCAAACAAACAGAAATTTTTGTGAAAGGCTGCTAATTGCGCAACTCAGAAGATTAAAGAAGGAACCGGAAATATTAAAGAAATATGATGATGTCATTAAAGATCAGATAGAACAGGGTATAATTGAGGAAGTACCAGATCATCCTACAGGAGAAAGAATCCATTTCCTACCACACCATCCAGTAATACGTGAGAATGCGGAGAGCACAAAAGTCCGAGTTGTGTACAACGGGTCAGCAAAAGAAAGAAAAGGAGACAAGAGTTTGAATGAGTGTTTATACACAGGACCATCATTGCTACCTATGCTACATGATGTGCTGTTGAGGTTCCGGATGTTTCCAGTGGCGCTTGTTGGTGACATCAAGAGTGCATTCCATCAGATCTTAGTTGATGAGAAGGACAGAGACAGTATGAGATTCCTGTGGGTGGAAGATGTCACAAATGAGAAACCTGTGGTTAAAGAATACAGGTTTACTAGAGTCATTTTTGGAAGTGGACCAAGTCCATATTTGTTAAATGCAACATTGCAAAGGCACCTCAAGAAGTACGAAGAAGAAGAACCAGCAGTTGTCCAAAATGTCTTACCAAACATGTATTGTGATGACCTTGTGAGTGGAGCTGCTGACAGTACGCAAGCCATAGAGTTGAAAGACAAAATTACAGAGATTATGAGAAAAGGAGGTTTTCAACTCCATAAGTGGAAGACCGACCATGTGGAGGTCAGAAAGCACATAGAGGAGAAAAGTGATCAAAAAGATTCAACTACAGTGACGTATGCAAAGGAAAGCCTAGGTACCAAAGATTCACAAAGTAAAATTTTAGGATTAAAATGGAATCCAGAAGAGGACACACTAGGAATTAGTATGGAAGCAGTGCTAGATGTGAAGAATGGTAAAGTGACGAAGAGAGAAGTCCTAAGCAGACTGTCAAAGGTATATGACCCACTGGGTATTGTGGGCCCAGTTGCAGTTACTGCAAAGCTGATATTCCAAGATATCTGCAAGGAAAACAAGGATTGGAATGAGCCAGTAAGCCCAGAGATTGAAATGAGATGGAAGAAATGGATGCAAGCTGTTTCAAGGTTGACTGAACTCAAGATTCCCCGATGCATTATGCCAGCAATCGGTGGACCAAGGAAGATTTCAATTCATGTTTTCGGTGATGCAAGCAAGGCTGCATATTGCACTGCTGTAAACCTTGTATGGCACCATGAAAACGAGTCAGGTGCACACCTTGTTACTGCAAAGACAAGGTTACCTCCAATAAGGAAAGAGATGACAATACCCAGGTTGGAACTAACAGCAGCAAGGATCGCAGCACGTTTGTTGAAAACAGTCAGAGAAACTCTAAAGAACTGGGAGCCAGAAGAGTCAGTTTTGTGGTCTGACAGCAGCACAGTTCTACATTGGCTAGAGAATCGAGGTCAATACAGACAGTTTGTCCAGCGAAGAGTAGATGAGCAACAAGCATTAACAACGGATGTAAATTTAAAATATGTGCCCACAGCTGAGAATCCTGCAGATTTGGGCACAAGAGGATTGTCTCCCCAGCAATTAGAGCAAAGCAAGATTTGGTTGAATGGACCAGAGTTCATAGTGGATGGAAATTATCCCCACCAGCCTCACCTGATCGAAACAGTTGAAAGCAAGGCTGAAGAAAGACAGTGTACACTTCCAATTGCTGAAGAAGAACCAAGTCTGTCAATCAACAATTTAGTGCCTGCGGAAAACTATGGCTCATATGGCTAACTGTTGAGAGTTACAGCTCTTGTGCTTAGGTTTATAAGTTGCCTCAAGGAGAAGAAAAGGCCAGATACTCAAATGTTGCGTGTAGAAGAGATCCAAGAGGCAGAAGAATTGTGGATAAAAGATACACAAGTGATGGTGAAAGGAAGAAATAGTTACTCACAAATAAAGACACAGCTTGCAGTGATAGAAATCAATGGAATCTTACACTGCCAAGGACGTCTTCAAAACACAACACTACCAGTTGAAAGCAAGTTTCCAATACTGTTACCCCAGGATAGCAGATTTACAAGTTTGCTAATTTCAGAGTGTCACAAGCGTACACGACACGGGGGAGTAAATACAACATTAGCGGAAGTCAGAAGCAAGTTTTGGGTCTTAAAGGGACGCCAGGCTGTGAAGCAACAATTACGTCAATGTATGGTTTGCAATAAGCGAAATGCAAAGCCATGTGCACCACCTCAATCTGGACAGCTACCAGCAGAGAGGGTGGTTCGAGACAACCCGTTTAGTACAACTGGAGTTGACTTTGCAGGACCTATATATTTGAAGAATGAAGAGAAGGCATATGTTGCACTATTCACATGCGGCATAACCCGTGCAGTACACTTAGAGCTCACAGAAGATATGACAGCCAATGAATTTAGAGGAATGTTTCGAAGATTCATCAGCAGACGTGGAGCACCTGCTACAGTAATAAGTGACAATGCAAAAACATTCCTTGCCACTGCAAAGCACTTGAAGAAGATATGTGTAGAGCAAGAATTGCAGGATTTTTTGTTGGCCAACCGCATTGATTGGCATTTCAATGTAGCTAAGGCACCGTGGCAAGGCGGCTTCTTTGAAAGATTAGTTGGAATAACCAAGACAGCATTATTCAAGACCATGGGAAAGGCAAAACTAACCTTTAGAGAGCTGGAAAACATCTTGATAGAAGTTGAAGGAATGACAAATAATCGACCACTTACCTATCAAACATCAGATTTAGAGGAAGAGCCCCTCACTCCAAATCATATGATTCATGGTCATCGACTAGCAATGATAGGAGATGTCAAGCATGACAACGATGCAGATTTTGATGACAAGAACGTGAACAAGAGAATGAAGTTCTTGAGAGCTAAGCTAGAGCATGTATGGAATAGATGGTCAAAGGAGTATCTTTTAGGTCTTCGTGAATATCATCGCACGACTAAAGGAGGAGAAGTATTACCAGAGCTTGGAACTTTGGTATTGATCATAGATACTACCATTGAACGACGTTTCTGGAAGTTAGCCAAAATCTCCAGTTACATAAAAGGAAGAGATGATGTAGTTCGAGCAGTAAGATTAGATGCGGTATCTCAAGGGCGGAAGATTGTAATGGAAGGAAAGACCACTTCAAGGAATATGCCCCTTAGAGATAAAAGCACAAGTAGAAGAGCAATATACTCAGGAAAAGCAAGTTCAGGCAAAAGAAGTCAAGCCAAGAAGAGTAGCAGCTTTTGCAGCTGACGAATTATTGAAAGTACATGCACAGTCATTAAATCAAGAGTAAAGACACTTGATTTGGGGGAGTGTACTGAATTATAGCTTAGACCCCCTGACTCCATTTTGTTATAGCCTCGTTTTGATTAGAGACCACGTTTTTTTTGTGAAAGTTGATAGTTTTGTTGATCGATATAGCTTGCACTCGCACAAATGTTTTTCTGTATCGTAAAGATATTCTCCGAATGTGTTGATTAGGATATTTTACGACAACTGCTCTCGACTGCTCTCGACTTCGCTCGACTGCTCTCAACAAGGTGTTCAAACGCTCCCGACTTTTACTCTCGACAAAAATCTAGAGTAGTCGAGTGAAAAGTCGAGAGCGTTTGAACGGCGCTTTACAATGCAAACGCTGTCTACATAACGGAAACAAAAACTGCCAATACATCGGACAAACTAGCAGACGACTTAAAGACAGATTTAACGAACACCAACGAGACATTATCAACAAAAAAGAAGACAAGTCTGGTGTTGCAGAACATTTCTGCAGCCCAGCACACACCATCAACGACCTTGCCATCACACCACTACTTAGACTTAATGACAAACGAGAGAGTGTTCGTCGAGCTAAGGAGCAATATCTCATTGGCCTGGCGAACACCCTCACCCCCAACGGCATGAAGAGAACCACCGACCGTTAACTTTACAAAACAACCTATCACCTATCACACCGCCCTCACAACCCACACCATATTTTCCCTACCACTATAATCATCATCACCACCATTACCATCATCAACATTCCATTATCCTCAGTTCCATCACAATTATTATTATTATTATTATTATTATTATTATTATTACTATTTTTTTTATTCATATTTATAGTCATCATTATCATCCCATTGCATCAATCTCCATAGCACCACCCACATCCCTATATCACCCACCACCTTTCCCTCCCCTACTTCCATCATCCCATTTTTTCTCCACTGCGCTGCATTCACACCATTCAACATCCACCAATCCGGCACCACCTTATCACATTTCAAATCCATTCACTCGTTCGTTTCATTTACTCTGATGAAGCCCTGTCTGCCGGGGCGAAATAATAGTATACTCTTTAAATTTAATTTATTTTGAAAATTTATTTCGTGACATTGGATTCTCGTCGTCGTATTAGTTTGTTCCTGTATATCTAACATAATAAATGACGACAAGAAGATTTGTGAAATTTTCAATTCTTATTTTGTAAACATAACCGACACACTACCTATCACAGCACCACCAGAGTCTGACGTTGTAATCAATTCGTCAACTGATCATGTGCTGTATTCGATTCAGAAATACAGGAGCCACCCTAGTATTATCAGAATTAAGGAGAATGTTGGTATTATTGACGAATTTGAATTTGATTTTGTTGCACCTTTTGATGTTTGGAATGAAATCAACCAGCTTAGTAGTTCAAAAAATCTAGTGGGGAGATTCCTACGGACATTTTGATATTACTCTCAGATTTGTGTATTGATCAAATTACATCGTATGTAAATTATATGTTCGATTATAGCGAATTTCCTGACCAACTAGAACTTGCTGATGTATCACCTATCTTCAAAGCGAACGATTCTACGTTGAAACTTAACTTTAGGCCTACAAGTGTCCTTCCGGCCCTTTCAAAAGTCTTTAAACGCATCATGGTCAAACAAATGAAACCGTTTGCAAATACCAGATTTTCTAGTTTACTGCGTGGCTTCCGTGACGGCTACAGCACAGAACATGCATTGTTCCGTCTCATTTAAAGGGCCTCTCTAGACAAATATTGTACTTGCATTTTATTGGCTAATCTAAAGAAGTTGAACCTGCTGATCATGAATTCGTCATTTGTTTTTCGATATTTTTTACAGTTTGTGAGATATAAGCTCTTGCACTTCGATAATTGAATTGAATTAACCGACAAAAATTGTACGGTTTGGTCACACTGTGACGCAATTTTGACGTCAACAACATTGATAACAATCGTAAGGTTAAAGGAAAAAACTGAGAAAAAAAAATTAAAGAACGAAAGTTAAAAAGGATGTAATTCCGGATTTGTCCATGGCTTATTTTTGCAACAAAATATGTAGTACGTAGTACGGATGGCAATGTTGGAAAGTTTAGAAATGAGATACCGTTTTTGTTGCTGATCGATGGAGAGAGAGTCACACATTTTGAAGAATGGAATTGCCGAAGATGCCAAGAGAGCTCATAGAAAGATTAACAAAGGAGACACATTTGAACTGCCGCTGTAAACCAGATGAGAGAGGAGCATACTTGCTGTGTTTTCTTGTTGCATTAGTGTCAAGATTGGATTCGAAGCCAACAGTTAGCTCTAAAATGTAGAGGTAATTGTTGTTAGTCCTCAAGAGAAGATTAGGGCGAAGGTTTTCTCCAGTTATGATTGATGGTGAAAGAAAGCCAGGTATATCAGCGTAGATGGTAGATTCATTAACAGCTTTTAGTGACGTAGCTAGAAAGTTTAGGATAGAGTTATGTCTCCAGGTGTATCGGCCTTGTTCCAGATACGTTTTGCAGCCAGCAACAACGTGAAGGAGGGTTTCTGGCAGAAAACAGAAAGAGCATTCAGAGGTCTGGCTCAAGTTCCATTTTTTCAGGTTTTTCTGTGTGGCAAGGGTATTGTTCAGTCAGGTACCTTATGGTGAAATTGAAAATATTCTGAGGCATGCTACTTTGCACCTTGGACCAAAGTTTGTTTATTTGTGGAAGATTCTGGTTAAAGAGATGTGATAATAAAGATCCTTGGGAGGTTAGGATGTTTTGCAGACGATCTTTATGCTCATGCTGGACAGCCTTTAATGCTTCTTTGGTGTTCCTATATATATCATATTGTATATTTGTGCCAATGCTGGTATTTTTCCATAAAGAGCGAATGTTATCGTTTGGTGAAGATTTCAATGCGTTTCGTAAAACTGTTTGAAACTGTAGGAATTTGGTGGATGGCAAAGTTAGGCTGGTTTTTAGAAAGAATAATGCTACTCAAGGTAGCACTTATTGGGAGGTCGAGCCACTGGCGGATGTATTTGGATACAAGGTTGTCAAGATTCTCGACAACCCACGTCTTTGAAAGATCTGCTACAGTAAGGTTCCAGGAAATTTTAGAAAGAACAAAGTTGTGATAAAGACGCAGCTTATTTTTTGCATGAAGAGGCTCGGAATCGTTTGAGCATGTTGGACAGTGTTGATAAAAGGTCCGATTTATGTTCTTGGTTTGTCATAATAATAATAATAATAATGGAAACTTTTCATTTTCAATTCAATTAAAACTACAATTACAAATTTCACTATTACAAGGTAATTTGCAATTGGCTAGCCTGGTTTTACAAGAAAAAACTATAACCCTCGTAAGGTAAAAGGAAAAACTGAGAAAAATAAAATAAAATAAAACAACTAAAGTTAAAAAGGATGTAATTCCGGATTTGTCCATGGCTTATTTTTGCAACAAAATATGTAGTACGTAGTAATAATAATAATAATAGTGGAAACTTTTCATAAAAATAATAATAATAATAATAATAATAATCTCCCCGAGACCATGATTGGCGTCCGGCGGGGGCTAGTCTGTCTCATGGGTAGGAGGGACTCTTTAGTCTTGGTTGGCAACTCTTCTAGTGATGGTGTCACGATAAAAATACTGGTGGTTGTGCAACCTTAAATTCACTAATCCTCTTATGAGTGTGAAATGTCGGATCAAACAATCGAAAATAACGGCGTGAATGGTACTGGAACTGATCGTGAAGGCACCTCGCCCGGCAGGTGTTCTCCGGCACAGCAGCGGAGACCCGGTCGTCATCAAGTGACTGCAAAAAGAAAGTGGACGAAGGAGTTGAATGTGGTTGTTATGGAGTGTTACTTCCTAAGTAATCCTTTAGATGTAAACGGTAAACCTATCAGGGGATATAGGCAAAGGATGTATAGAGCATGGAAAGAAAAGGGTTTGTTTGAGATAAGTGAACAGAATTTGTGTGACCAAGCATGAATGGTAAGGAAAAATGGATGGCTTACTGATGTCGAGATTGAAATGGTTAAGAGATATGTACTCAATGAAGATGCTGAAGAAAGCACAAATGAAGGTGAAGGAGTCATGGAGATTGGGCAGCGAGTGAATGAAAACGCTGAGGTAGAAAACGATGAGAATAGAAAGAATTTTAAAGCTGAGATTACGACTAGCGAGATTACAGTAGCAAACAATGATATAAGATCGGAAGAAGATCGTGAAATTATACAGAATATTATAGATATCATGAGGAGCGAGGAAAAAGAGTTCATCTCTGGATCCAAAAAAGTAGAGAGGTGGAAGCTAGTAAATTTATGTAATAAGGTGAACGAGATTGTGAGTGATATTCGAACCGAAACAATCACTGAAACCAACAATTTGTTAAATTCCATTTCGATCTACTGTGCTAGGAAAGTAGGGTTTAAGAAACCCTCAAGTAGTAAAACGAAGAATAAAGATCCATGGTGGAAAGGAAGATTGAATGCATGTATTGATGAAATCCGTAACCATATAAATAAACTTGAAAGAAAGCAAAGAGGAGAGAAAGTGTCGAAGAGAAATTGCGTAGGGGTTGAAAGGAAATACAAGGTCAGGACCAAAGGATTGCGTTGTGTCTTAGAAGAGCTAAAACAAAGATTAAAAGCAAAAGCATTTAAACTTAAGAGATATGAGCAGAGAATAGACCAGTTCAGAATTAATAAACTTTTTCAACAAGATCAGAAAAAGGTGTATCAGGAGCTGAATGGTAAAGCGAAAACCGGAAATGCGGTGCCAAACTCGGAAGAAAGTAGAGAGTTCTGGTCAAATATTTGTTCAAAACAGGAAACTCACAGAGACAACGCAGAATGGCTAACAGAGCTGAGAAATAACAAGGTAGAATGTCAGCAAGAAAAATTTGAAATTACAGTAGAGATGGTTACACAACAATGCAAAAAGCTCCCTAATTGGAAAGCACCAGGACCTGATGGGGTCCAAGGATTCTGGCTCAAAAAGATGCATAGTCTACATAACCGGATAGCAACTCAGATGAACGATATCATTAACAACAACATAAGTATACCTGAATGGATGACGAAAGGTAGAACTGTACTATGCCAGAAAGACACAGCAAAGGGTAACGAAGTAGGAAACTTTCGCCCAATCTCATGTCTACCACTGATGTGGAAACTCATGGCTGGGATTGTGTCGGAGAAGATATACAGTTACCTTGAAGTAAACAATATTCTCCCTAACGAAAAAAGGGATGTAGAAAGAAAAGCAAAGGAACAAAAGATCAGCTTTTGATTGATAAAAAAGAAGCATAAGAACCTTGCTATGGCTTGGGTCGATTACAAAAAGGCCTACGACATGGTGCCGCATTCCTGGATTTTAGAAAGTATGAAGCTGATAAACATTTCGGAAAGTGTTATTAAGTTCATCCAATGGTCCATGTCAAAGTGGAAGACAGAGTTGACAGCTTGTGGTGAGTCTTTAGGGGAGGTTGATATAAAGAGATGGATTTTCCAAGGAGATAGCTTGTCACCACTGTTGTTTGTTATTTGTATGATGCCATTATCTGATGTATTGAGAAAAATGACACCAGGAATTAAAAAATACCACGGAGGAAATGTTACAAATGGTAAGAATCCACGGCCATTTGAATACTGAGGAATGTAAAGATCCAAAAGTCTTCAGGAAAGAAGGTAAGGAGAAAACTATGAGAGAGTGGAAGGAAAAGAAATTGCACGGACAATACTGAAATAAAAACGAAGCAGTTGATTGTGATAAAACTTGGGGATGGTTGAGCAAAGGCGACCTTAAATGCACAACTGAAGCATTGATATGTAGTGCACAGGAGCAATCACTGAGAACAAACTATTTGATATACCATATTGAAAAATCAGTGGAATCTCCGTTGTGTAGGATGTGCCATGAAAAAGGAGAAAGTGTCAATCATATTGTTAGTGAATGTTCCAAGTTGGCGCAAAGAGAGTACAAAAGAAGACACGACAATGTGGCAAGGTATGTGCATTGGGCAATGTGTAAAAAGGCAAATATAAAAAGAGCGAATGAGTGGTATAACCAGCAGCCAAATAGCTGTGCTGAAAATGAAGAGTACAAGTTGTTATGGGATATGATGATACAATGCGACCAACGCATACAAGCTAGAAAACCAGACATTGTATTGCTGGACAAAAGAACTAAAGAGGCTACAATAATAGACATCGCCATTCCGGGTGACAAAAGGGTACAAGAAAAAGAAGTAGAGAAAATTGAAAAATGCCAGCCTTTAAAGGACGAAATGGCAAGACTTTGGGATCTGAAAAAGGTCAAAGTGGTTCCCGTGGTGATTGGTGCTCTGGGAATGATTACTAAGAAGTTTGAGGGATACATCAAGGAATGTGATGACAATATCAGGATTGAAGTAATACAAAAAACGACTTTGTTAGGTTCTGCTCGAATCTTAAGGAGAGTACTGTCTATGTAGGACACGAAGAATGAAGCCTTGAAACCGTTGATAGCTTGGTGCTACCTGCTTTCAAGGAATTTACCGAATTCAACAACTAATTCGAGAAATATGGAATTGAACATAATAATAATAATAATAATAATAATAACAATAATATTGCATCGGAACTCAATCAATATAAGGTGTCTCAAATTGTTGGTCAGGAAAAAAGATGCTGCAAATTGCTTGAAACAACATTATTATGTTTTCTTATTAAATGAAATGACCGGTGATAAACATCTTAATTAAGTCTTATATCTTATGTTAATTAGCTTAGGTTGTGGTAGTTCGGAGTTACTCGTGTAAATAGGAGTTTTTCGTTACGTTTTGGTAAAAAGGAGTCATAAACTTAGATCTTGTCGTCTCTCTATATCTTGCATTCTCCACATTCTAACCGCCAGAAACTGTATCTAAAATGAATTTTGACTGAAGGTGTCGCATAGTCGCGTCTATTGTGATGTTGACATGAAATAGATATGTTTTGCAAAGCTTTAAAAAAACCACTATCATATAGCTCGTGATGAAACCATTTTTAAATTTTAAAATTACCCGAAATAACATGAGGGAAACAAATAAATGTGTATAAAGTAGAGTAAGGTGAAACAGAGTTAGTTAGAGAAAAGCGTGGTGCTTGCCAAAGGCAACTGCTATTAAACTTTTAAAAGTTAACGTTTTTATGATTTGTATTCGTGAGAAGCAATTCTTGTGTTTTATTTAGCATTTTCTACCGCTCGGAAAAATCATTCTAGCCAAATATACGAAGCCCCTCACAAAAAAAATAAGAATTAATATAAAACAATAACGTTGAAATATCAACAGAAGAACTATCAACTAAAAATAAGAAGCAATAATTGCAATTTTGTACAGATGAGATAAATTTTTGTAACATCTGATCTTAACTTTTCGGAAATTAAGTGCTTTAACAAAAATTTGAGAAACCTTCAAACTGGGCTTGTCAAAATGAGTTTAAATAGAGTCCACCATTTTGTGTCGATATTTTCTCTTTCTTAGTAGGAATGGATTTCCAAACGATCAAACTCTGAAGTTTTCTTGAATCTTGAAAATACTTTTTAAAAACAAATCTGCCCATACTTTATTTCTCATATCCTCAAAAAAGTTCTTTCCAGCTGTTTTATTTCCTTCAACAGCTGATTTTTCTCTTTTTGTAATGTTTCTGAGAAAGTTTTCGTTGACAAATAGACCCTGTGTGCCAAGTTTAGGCAATGGAAAAAGCGAAACTCCGTCAATTTATGCTGGCGCCAAGTTATTA